TTATTACTACGCGAGTACCGAGTAGTGCATGGTGATTGTAAATCAATACAACGTGTAACGTATAGCAATAAAAGTGATATATTTTACTAAAGAATACTACAGAAAGTGTTAGTTTGTGTCGACCATTCCTCGAGTCCTTTGTGGATCCCGACCCGTGCCGTATAGAGGCACAACAATACTTATCTGGGATCGTGGTGCTATTAAGTTTACGGAAGTCCCCGCAAGGTCTCCATCCGCCATCGTTTTTCTTTTGACGATGTGTAGGGGACTTGCCCATTGAGAGGATGATGGACGGCAAACTCCTTGCTCTAGCATCGCCTCGAACTCTTTCTTAGCCGCTTTGTACTTTTCAGGGGGGAGTCTACGTGGTCGTTCTGCAGTTGGTGGCCCTTTTGTTACTATATGGTGTTTGACGTTGTGAGATACTTTTTTAGACGTAGCTGGGCGTGTTATGTCTATGTACTTCCGCAGTAGCTCGCTATATTTGCAATTTCGATTGACGATTGCTACAGATGGTTGTCCAGTAATGGTTGTTCCGGTTTTTGTAGACAGTAGTGTTTGCTCGTCGAGCAGCTTGCGCCGCTTCAGGTCCGGCAGTAGCCCGTGGTGCGCTAAAAAATCAGCGCCGATAATGGGTTGCTTAACCGCTGCTACTATAAATTCCCATCGAAATGGTCGTCTCAGGCCAAGATTCAGAATCTTCGTTTTGGTTCCGTACGTATGTATAACCGTGTTGTTGACTGCGAAGAGTTGAAATTCTTCCGATCTTTTTGAGCCTGGTGCCATTCTACGCGGGATCACAGATATGTCAGCTCCTGTGTCTATCAGGTATGCCACGCCATCTTTTTTATCGCAGATTGTCAGGCGTGGAGTCTGTTTGAGACCGTCGACGACCGCCTGTAATCGTGACGATTCTTCTAGTTTTCCGTACTGGTCTTTTTTTCCCATGTGCAAGGCGGTGCACATTTGTATGCTTGTGCGCCGAATTTGTTGTGGTAGTAACATAGTTCCTTATTGTCGCGCGCTTGGGATTTGCTATGCGGTCTTCTGTCGAAGTTTCTGCGTCATCGTGACTTGCTTCTGGATCTGCTTCTGACTTGTTTAGTCAGTTTAGCTATCTGCTTGGTCAGTTCTGCTATGTCTGCTGAAACTTTATTGACTAAGCTAGTATTATCATCGGTTTCAGGACTCACCGCTTGGATACTCCCCGGAAATGGTTTTGCTACTTCCATTACCTTATCTGCTTGTGCGGCTAACTTACTGAGATCAGTTACCTCACTAATGGCTAAGATTGCGCGTATATTCTCTGGCAGACGCTCCATAAATATTGATTTGAGTATCTGGTCGCTGACTTGTCCTTCGGCAAGGTTTCGCAAGCGTTGTAGGAATATTGAGGGTTTGTCATCTCCAAGTTCATGTGTAGCAAGCAAGCGTCTAATCCTCGTGGCTGTTGTCTCTCCGAGGACGGAGACCAGGCGTCCTTTGATGGCGTCATATTTTTCTTTGTCTGGCGGAGATGTTACAATATCTGCAACTAACGGAAGTGTACTTTGGTCTAGGTTAAGTACCACACGTCGAAATTTGGATTCATCGCCCGAAATTCTGCCGATTGAGAATGCTGCCTCTACTTGCGCGAACCACAGTTGCGGATTATCCCTCCAGAATAGTGGGAGGCGTACAGCGTATGTGGCATTGATTGTTGGTTCAACGCCTCTCCGGACTCTCTACCGTTAAGTATTCAACGTAAGCACTGGATTGCTTGTAGGACGTGATAGGTTCTTAATTGTATTTCCGGATTACCAAAAATATAAACTCTTTATTTTTTAACAATGAGACTTATGAGATCGATACAATATATCTTTCCTTGCACGTGTCAGACGACGAACGTTAGTCTTGTGTTCTTAAAATCCACCAATACTGTGTCCCTCTGACGAAGTCCCTAGATGAGTATTTCTGGACAAGTGCTGCCGCCACATCACGCTCCGCTTTGTCCATCGCGTCACGACGCTACGCGAAAGAGAGAAAGAGAGGGGTTGTGTACATATATAAACTTCACTCTTTCTCTCTTTCGTTTCGCGTCGTGACGCGATGGACGACGCGACTCGTGACGCGCTCGGGGTGATCCCGATTGATCTCGGCTCGATTGGACACCACCAATCAATCGACCAGTGCTCAGGAATTTTGTAGTTTCAAGCGCTGTGAGTGACTCGTATCCAATTGAGCCGTGTCCAACTGGGTGCCATCCGACGCGCTCAGTGGAAACGTACCATAACCAAATTTTCTTTTCAAAACAAACCTTGTTTCTGTTTGATTGAATTTTGGACTAAAGATAAAACATGTAAAAATTTAATCCGATGTGACTTACAATGACCAAGCGAGTGTGTTGTGTTCGAAATTGTGACTTCAATCCTGGAGATAAAGAAAATCGAAGAACAGTATTCAAATTTTGTGAAGTACGTATTGATGAAATGTAATCTGGAAAAATGTACAAAAATGTGATTTGATAATGTTGTCTGACATTTGTATGCATACATAACAGTTATATTAAATCTCAATTATTATATTGCAGAATCGATGCGCGCATGCGCAAACTTTCACACAATGTGCAATGCCACTGCACATCGTAGGTTTGTCGCATCGCATGCTCCAATATGTTCCAACATACTCCTGCCATAGCTCCTACTCACTCTATCAAGCATGTTGGAATGAGTAGGAGCTATGGTAGGAGCATATTGGAACATATTGAAGCATGCGACGCGAACAAATCCCGTGTGAAAAGCCGCGGACGTTTTTTGACTCACCCTCACCACGCCAGTTGACCCGCCTTAGGCTGCGTTCAGAAACTTCACCTTGCGGGTGATTGCTAGAAGTCTGTGTGAGTGAAATGGTAGGGATAAGGTACCCTCTCTGGTGTGTATATTTCTGAACGTGTGTACATTTTCCTAGCCGAAAGAAAATGGCGGAGTGTAAAAAACAAGTATTTGATATATGTACTAGCTAGTAAACTTTCTATTATAATATCTTATAGCGTTTTCGAGTGGGCAAAAGTTAGTGCGCACCAGTGCGCACTCAGTTCACACCAACACTGGACGAGTTCCAGGGGTTGCACTGAATAGTGCAAGTTCAAAAGAATACGCCAAGATTTTCAGTGTAAAAGCTGAAACTCATTTTTGTTTACTTTGAAGCAATGTTCAACAAAATGTTACAAAACCACAGTAAAAGATATTAAGAGTAGGGACAAGACCCCGTTTTCAATTCAACTGCGCAGATTTGCTTGTCCCTATGTATATATCCTTAACTGTGATAAAACGTGCACTGAACTGGCACCGTCAAAATATCTCGTGCCACTTAGTGCGCACTGAGTGCGCACTACGCGAGTGTCGTGCGATCAAATGAACACGTGACACTAGCCAAGTGCGCATTGGCACTGCCAATCGAACACGCTCTTGACACTGAGTGCAGCCAGTGCACCCCGATCGAAAACGCTATTAATTTAAGCGAAACATGTAAACATATACATGATATGACTAATTTAATTATTCATTTTGATACATATTGTACGGGAGTAGTACATCATTCTTTATGCATTGCCGAAATATAGCGAATTTGATTGATGTGCACTCACTCGATGTTGCTCGGTGCCAGTGGCTAGTAACTTTTGCACTAGTGCCGAAACGGTGTGGTGTATGCGATCCGAGTGTGGTTTTACTTGCCTTGATTCAAGCGTTTTCGATTGGGCGAAAGTTAGTGCGCAACAGTGCGCACTCAGTTCACACCAACACTGGACGAGTTCCATGGGTTGCATTGAATAGTGCAAGTTCAAAAGAATACGCCAAGATTTTCAGTGCTAAAGCTGAAACTCATTTTTGTTCACTTTGAAGCAATGTTCAACAAAATGTTACAAAACCACAGTAAAAGATATTAATAGCGTTTTCGGCCCGATCGGGTTTGCACCAACCTGGGTTGGATTAATCTTTCCTATTGGTTGATGTC